CATCCAACTAATGGCCTCCTCATGGAAAATCAAGCCCTCATTCTTCTAAATTTTCATGAAAATCCAGAATCTGAATTTTTTGTATATGAAATCACCTGATTTTTAAAATGTCTTTATTTTAAAAGGTGTGCTGGCCAAATCTGAGATCTGAGACCCAAATTTGTGCCCTCTGCTTTAAAGAAACAACGTATGTCTAGGCATTTATGGGCTGTTAATTCCACTAATGGTCTAAGAGAAACTTTGGATCAGTGTTACTGATATGTTAGCATCAACACAAGCTCCTGACAGTGTAAGAAATGCTGTACTGATTCAGATCAATGGTCAAATGGGCTCAAAAGTTTCTTCCTCAGAGTAACACCAGGGACCATGTTGGAAAGATGTAGAGTTTAAGTTCTTTTAGAAAGTTAGGGAAGTCCCACAGCACATGTGATTTTCTCTTTTTTGACTTATAAAATATTTCATGGACGGAGAGATAATAGTTTATCTTCTAGCTTTATTGAAGCATATCCTTTGATCATAGCTGCTTCATATATATTTATGTTTTTAATGCTAACATAAAATGTGGACACTGTGAATATTCTCCATTACTCCTCCATCCTCAAAGGTAACTACCACCCCAAACTTCATGTGGACCATGTCCTTGAATGTTCTTTCAACTTAAAAATAGTGTAAATCTTCTGTCCACTAGCTTAGTCTAAAAACTTGACCCATTTACAGGTACAGACACAACCTGTCCTATGTCCTAAATTGTGGAAAAAGCAAATCCAGACATAAGGGGACCATTGGCTAAGTCCTTTAATCTTTCCACAATTTAAGTTTTCCACTTAGATAATGATCTTTATCCTATTTACCCAGTTTGGGTGGGATGACAATAAAACACAATAATGAGAATGAATATTCTTTGGTAAAAGATAAAGTGTTCGCCACATGCAAAGTTCTAACACTTTCAATAATGAATTCCTTATGTATCTTATTCCCGTCACAAAGTACTAGTTTATTTTACTGTCCCCAAAACAAAGTTGAGGAAGTAGCCTCTATTCCCATTCAACAAGCGCTTTTAGCTCCTTTACTTGAGTTCATAAACTTTGATTGCAACTTTTCACAGCCTTTGTACTCCCACACAAAGGTGTAGATTGTTTCATTCTTCCTCCAAAAGAAAAGTATTTTACTACGATTTTTGTAATTATTTTCCTAAATCTTATCTAAGTCTGTTATATCTTTCTGGAGGCAGAGAAGCCAAAATTGCCTGCAGTATTACAGGTGCAAACAGTTCTGCTTAGGGGAAGATTTATTTAAGCACTTTGCAAGCATAATTACACCTAAGTAAAATAAAACCCAATCATATCAAAACCACAATGAGATACCACCTTACATCCATTAGGATGACTACTATAAAAATCAGAAACTGGAAATGTTGACAAGGATATGGAGAAACTGCTTTGCAGGTGGGAATGGAAAGTGGTGCAATCATTATGGAAACAGTATGACAGCTTTTCAAAAAATTAACAATGGAAATATCTAATAATTAAGCAATCTCACTTCTGGTTATGCATCCCAAAGAATTAAAATCATGGTCTTGAAGAGATACTTATATGTATCATAGCAGCTTGATTACATGTTCACAGCAGCTTGATTCACAATAGTCAAAAAGTGGAAATAACCTAAATTTCCAGCAACAGGAAAATATATCAAGCATGACCAGTATACACAACAATGGAATATTCTTTAGCTTTAAAAAGGAAGGAAATTCTGATACATGTTACAATACATATGAACATTGAGGAAGGACACTATGCTAAATGAAATGAGTTAGTCGCAAAATTCCATTTATATAAAGTACCCAAAGCAGTCATAGAGACATAAAGTACCATGGGTGACTGCCAGGGCCTGGGGGTATAGGTATTTGTTAATTTGAAAAATAAAGGGTTCTGGAAGTTAGCTGCACAACATTAACGTACTTAACACTATACAACTGAATCGTATTTTTAAAAATGGTTAAGATGGTAAAAACAAAAGACAAAACCCAACTGAAATCTAGAACTGTAGGTTTCAAGGGTTATGAGAACATTACAAAAAGCTAAGCAAACGACTCCATCAAGCAACAACCACTACAGACAGCATAGTTTTCCTACTGAGAGGGGGTCTTCTTTAAACTATTTACCTACAGTTTATGGTAGCTTTTCAACTTGTTTAGCCAACAATATAATAAAACTCATCTTTTGCATCTGTTATCTTTTTTTTTTAGAACCTAGAACATTATTATGCATTTATAGGTTGCTTTTTGGAAGGAATCACTAAATATCTGTTGATGGACTGACTGGCAGAAGGGATGATGACTAAATGTATAGCTGTGGAAACGTCTTCATTTCACCTTTTACACAGTCTACCTGACTTCTCTAAGCTTCATTTTCTCATGCATAAATTGAGGACAGTAAGAGTACCTACTTCATGGCATTATTGTGAAGATTAAATAATTGAATTCTTAGCAGAGTGTCAGATTAGTAGATCAGGGAAGGATGTAAAGACAAATATGGAAATGAAAAGGCAAGTGGGTTGTTTGAACCTGGTCTGTGAACCTTCACTATTACATCCAGTAGAGATAATGCTCTTTGCTTCCAATAGAAACCAATACTGTTCAGTAAATACTTAATGAATAAATGAACTAGGACCAAAGGTAAAAACTCAAAATCTGTTAAAAATAAATTTATCAAACAATTTTTTGATTTTTTTAAAAAAAGTTAATGGCTGTATGTGGGTAGATCATGACAAATACCCCTTCTTTCATTTCTGGGACTTGTGTAAGCTTTTCCAGGCTACCATAATTTTCTTGGGTCCATTTTGGGTTTATTTAGAACCTACTATATTCCCTGCACAGTCCCAGCAGCAAAGTTTCAACATAAACAAAACAGACTCCTGACCATGAGATGCTTCCAGTTTAGGGGAAGAGACAGGTATAGAAGCACGTGATTAAGGGTCATTCTGGAAGCAAATCTAAGATGTGCAAAGCAAAGTTCCAACCATTCTGCTTTAGGTGAGGATGGTTTTGGCAAAGGAAGGCCCTTGTGGGCAAGATGCCTGAACTGGGTAATGAAGAATAGATAGGACTTCCCCAAAGGGATGGAGGCTGGGAGAGAAATGCAGAGAGGTGCATACAAGCATGAAATATGGTGAGGGAGATGAAGTCACCAGGCTTCTTCAGGGAAGTGTGAGTGGTTTCCATGAAGCACAGAGCAGAAGTAAGAAAGGAAAAGGAGGGGTCACAGGTCCCAGAGCTCCTTTGCCAGAGGACAAGAAGGCCTTATTCTCATGGGAAACCATGGAAGTTTTAAGCAGAAGACAGCTGGTCAACTACTCAAAAGGTAATTTTGACAACAGAAGGAAAAACAGACGTTAGAAATCAAGACTAGAAGGAACGGGTGGCTCAGTGACCAACCAGTTAGGAAAAATGGGAGAGATAACATGAGTCTGTAGATCTCGACAGTGGTAAAGGGATGGCTATGAGTGGTGTCAAGGAAGGAGAATCAAATAAATTCACTTAATTTTACTTGCTCTGTAAGTGAATGAAAACTGAAACCATGAGCCACATACACACTAAAATCACAACTGCAAGACATTTTATTTAGGCATATTGCCTGAAAATCAATACCCTTGTTTAAAAAGTGAGGTAAGAGAGTGCAATCTCTGAATGACTTAAACATTCATCACCGCTGGCGGCTTTTAGTTCACTTGCTTCCAGCTGAACTCAAGGAGTTACCTTTGTGGATATCCATGGTTTGGTTTCAAACTAGAAATCATAATCCCTTCCATGCAGATCAAGTTCTGGCAAAGTGGATTTAATCCTTAAGAACCCACACCAGGGGCCTCCCCGGTGGCACAGCGGGTTGAGCACGCAGTGCTGTGAAGCGGTCTGCAGCCTCTGCAGCGCTGGTTCGATTCCCAGTAGGCCAGGGAGAAACCCACATGGCGAAACAGACCTCTCCTGTTTTGCCCGCTGCTCCCCTCAGCAGTGTCTTTGGTCCGTCTGCCTGTTCTGCTCCCTGCTCTGTCTCTGGTGAATCCTCTTACCATCCCATGCCTCTGGCCTGTACCCCAGCTCTTGTATAAAAATAAAAATAAATCTTAAAAAAAGAAAGAACCCACACCAGAGGAACTCAGCAAAGCAGCCTGGCGTGCTCCACTAGCCCCGACTCTAGAAGACATGACTTGACCATCACTCAGGCTGAGCATGTCTGAGCATGAGGAACTTGGATTACTCAGGAATAGGAAGGACTGATGGTTATAACAGGTTATAAAAAGTTCATAAGGGCAAGCCTTTTATCTGTCTTAGGCCACCCTGGAAGACCTTAAACTTGACTGTAGGCTTATGACTGGGGCACTAAAGAAGATGAGAGAAACCCAGATGCTACAGATGCTAAGCTGGAACCACCAGATTTTGGCAGACTTTTAAAATACTCTAGGATTAACCCAAATCAGTTAATTCCTCAGAAGAGCAACATACCTAACATGATATGTGAATTACTACCGGAAGAGAGGTAGACTACTGTAACTTTCAATAACCTAACAACTATTACAAATTGAGAATAAATCTCCCTAATGAAATAAGCACTTACAGTTCCTCTAGTGTGTATCTACATTTATACCCATCACACAGAAGTACAGCCATAATCTCATACTCTTTCAAATAACTTTGCCCAAACATTTAAAAAAATAATCCCTGACAAAGAGTTTCCAAGGTGCTTGACCAAATCCTTGACTTTGTAATACTCTGTGCTTACTCTTTTCCTCCATCCTACTATCCTTGCCAGACTCTCTTTTCTATTGAAGACCAGACAAGTAAGGTTGAAAAACAAACCAAATGCCTTATAACTAATACAAATTCATTTTATAGAACTAGATTGTTGGCTATGATTCTATGATTAAGCTCCAAATCCCCACATGACTATCACTGATGAGGCTGAGATTCAGCAAATTGACTGACAAGTGAAAGATTCGTGTCTCACCCAGTTCCACATCTTGATCATCAGTGAGCACAAGGATAATGTTGGGTCGGATGTTTTTACGTTCCTGCTGTATCCGTCCCCTGAACCTCGTGGATCTGACAGTCGAACAGAGGCTCCCCAGCAGCTCTGTGCCCAGGACAGCCAACACCAGAGCACAGCAAGAATACTTCATTGTGTTTGGTCCAATGTCGCAAACTGACAAAATGTCTCAGTCTCCTGGTTTCCGCAGGTCTGGGCAGTCTGAGAAAAAGGGAGAGGGAGAGACTAAATGAAATCCAAACCTAAAGCACAGTTGCAGAAAAACGGCTAAAACTAAGTGAGAACTGGCAGAGAAAGGGCTGCATATGAGTCAGAAGTGGCAAACCCTCATGGGCGCTGGGTAGTCTTTTAAGTGCTTGATTTTTTTGCAAATTTGTTTTTGTCCTTTATTCTTATTCCAATGTTTCTTATTTCAATTCATGGCTGAAATACAATTTCCAACACAGAGCTCGAATGTAAAGCTTTCTGACAAAAGCTAATACCTTGAATTTAGTATCCTGGTTGAATAATCAATTTCTATATTCAAAGGTATTCAGAACATCTGCAGTTGGGGTCCTAGAACAGGGAGAAAAAACACAAAGGAAACGTTAGTCAAGAATTTTGATATAGATTTTTGATATAAAGTAGTCTTTTGAAATGGCATTATATATATTCCCACCTGCACTCCCAACAGAGAGACAAAAGGAAACAACATTCAGAACTGCTAACACATGACTCAAATAATATTTTCATTTCATAATCAGCTCCATAAAACAGTGATGAGGGTATCATCTGTGTTCACATTCTAATAGCACTCTGCATATCCGCAGGAAAACTAACAGTAGAGTAGGGAGCGCCAGCAGTGCCTAGGAAACCACAGAGCGTGTGTAGAGTGTTTGTATCTTGGGAGTGTTTGGTTCAAGCGAGCATGTGGGGAAGCATTCACTCACCTGCATACGATAGTGAGTACTTATCAAATGAATGAAACACAAAGCTGTCATTTGCCATCTGCATTATGTCACTCACTGTCCAGGAGAGATCCTTCTGCTGACAAAGACTTCATAGGAAGTGACTGGGAGGACAACCTTCCCCTGCCTCCAAGAACTCCTAACTGTCCTCCGTCAATCAGCAGGGGAAGGGGCTCCCACTAGGCAAGGCTAGTGCTTCTGTCCAGCCGAGTCCTCAGCAGCAGCGCCTAAGGGGACAGAGCCTTCCTCTGACTGTCAACACCAGCTCCACTATTATCAAGACCTGGTGCAGCGCTCGCCCACAGCACAGGGGATGCTTTGCCGCAGCAGATCTAAACCTGCAGAGCAAAATGATTGATTGGCTCTGAGACTGGAGGTTAGAGACTACTCTTCCACATTAAAAAATAAATAAATAAATTCCTGAGGTGAGCATTGCAAAATCTTTGCATATCTGCACAGGAGGAGATTTTTGAAAGGGTTGGAAAAATGCCCCTTTCACTTTAGAACACTAACCTGCTGAAAGCTTTTCTCTTGGACTTTTGAAACCTAGCAAAGGACTCATCAAAAAAAAAAAATCTTTCTCTTGGTTGTCATGACAGAATGTCAGTATGGGAATTGAGGGTGCCTGAAATTAATTAGATAGCATTCACTTCATCAGTCTATCTGTCCCCACACACCTGAGGGTCTGCATTTTGATCTGCCATAATGAACTGGCATCAGATAAATAAACATAACAAAGTAAGTGTGAGCATTGATTGCATAGTAGGAGGAAAGGATCTCTGTCTCACTTCCAGGTCTTCAATTCTGGAAGTGACAAGGGGCAGTGGAAGAAAGAGAAGAAAGAGTGTGAACTGTTTACCCTTGCCACACACATTATTTTGTTTTACACAAACACACACGCACATATCCCTATTATTTTAAACTTTATGAGATGTTTTGTAAACAGTTTTAATGCTTTTCACTCTGCAGCCTGTAATTATGGGGGAAAGGAGGATAAGGGAGAGTTGGGAGAGAGACTCAACAAGAAATAGGTTTTTAAACAAAAATCTAGTGTCTTCAGGAGGCAGTCCTGATTCTATCATTCTCAGAATAGCAAGCAAACCTCTGAGATTGTTTCTGTAGCTCTGAGAAAGTCAGTATGTAAGACTTGGTGGTTTTGGGTAATAACTTGGGGATATTTCAGTGACTGGTGTGCATGTTGAGCAGGGAAAGCCCCCGACTCTTCTTCATGGAGTGGTTTCTGAGCATTTGTTTTAAATCATGAGAAAACTGATAGGATCCTGAAAGTTTAGGAAGATGAAAGAAATTAGATGTCAAACAATAACTTTCTCCCACAGAGCACGCATCAGGCTAAATAATAAAATACAAAAATTTCATAGAGGCTTAGTTAGGCCTTTAAGTAGCAAAACTTTGCTCACTTCTTTAGGCCTGCAAGGGCCTGTGAGGAAAGAGTGAGCACAGGTTTCTCACCTCCGCTACAGTATAACCCTCCTCCAAGGACCATAAGGACCTGGAAAGTGTGCTTGGACTCACCGTGCAAAGCAGCAATACTCAGAGTTTAAATAATCGACCACATGCGAAACTGAAAATTCTTGACAATTAAGATGCTGATAACATTTCTTGGAACTCAACCCACTTTACTAGTTATTCTTTTCTTTATCTTATTTACTTTACTTCTTCCTTTAGGAAAAAGAAATCTAGCCTTGATGGTACCTTGTATAAACTACATTGAAAGTCATTTCCTAATAAAGAAAAGGGAGGGCAGAGTTGATGGATTTTTTTTTTTTAACCTATTAAGTGATCTTTCTCTCTGGTAAGTAAATTAAAGGTACAGAAAAGACCTAAAATTTCTTTTGCATTTTATTATGGCTTCAGGGGATTCATATGTAAAAGCACAGAAATTGAGTGGTAAAGAAACTGAGCTTTCAGACAGGTCTGGTCAGCAGGAGCGCTTACTTCTTATTCCCCCTTCCTTCACTAAACCACACAAAATACACTCTTAAAAACCAGCACACAGAAACAACCTTTTAAAACCTGTCATCCTCTCCCTGCTTGGTTTCCAACTCCAGAAGGAAAAGAAGAAGAAGAAGAAGAAAGAAAAACCCTGACAGACAAAATGCAGACTTGACAAAGGAGACAAGGATGAAATGCTTGAATTGGATACTTTGTGGTAGACAGCAAGTGCCCTTAGAGACTAACAATTTGTCTTGAGAAATAGTAGAAAATGGCAGAAATGTAAAAGGAGGTTTGTTTTTTTTTCCCTCACACATGGAAAGTGAGTTGTATTCATGAATGAGGACCAGAATACAAGTTGCCTTTTCTCCAAGCCATGAAATGAAAACACCAATTGTAGCTCTGGTCAATTGGCGTAGCTAGTTCACAGGACTTTGTTTAGGGCAGTCGAGCCAAACTGTAAATGTGACATTAAAAGTTTCAAGTCACAGATAGAAGAAAAAAGGACTGGAAAGACTTCAATGTGGACAGAAAGTCTAGTTCACACATGCTCGCCTACCAATTCCCCATACTAAATTGAAGCCTCATTCCCAGGTAGTTTTATGAGGCTCTAGAGCTCCACCAAGTTCCCCTCTGGGCAATTGGTGCTGAGCTAAAGGGGATAGAGGCAAGATGGTTGAAAAGGCAGGAGTTCTCACAGTATAATTTGGGACTTTTGCAGAGGGCCTAAGATGCTTTAGGGGAAATGCAGGAGGCTTGAGTTAGTTTGAAGAGAATACTAACACAGTATTTCCCTTTTCTCCCCTAGGTTGAGATTTGCACTGATGGTGAAATTGCACTCATGGTGAAACTGCTGTTGTCTTAGTAGCATCTTAGGAAGGAGCATTGTTTACTTTGGAAAAAAATGCCAGTTTCACTCAGATAAAGTAGTAAAATGACTACTTTCATAAAAATTTGAGTACTTTTTTATTTTTAATTTTATGACAGGGGAGCACATGACAAGCCCTATTTGCCAATGGACCATGAGGATTATCTTGAGGAAAAGTGTGCAACCAAGTTGCAAGCTGAATTATACACTTTTCATTTTCATGGAACACTGTGTTTACTTGAAGGAATAATTCAAACTTGAATTTTTGGCAGACATTTTCTCAAATAATGAATGAAATGATGAAATAATGAATGAAATGAGACTATCATTTTGAGGAAGGGTACATTTGTTACCAGTGACAGAAATCTAGCTTTCAAGCTGAAATTTGGGGAAACTTGTGTCTGCCACTGTGAGCTTGGTGGCTTTGCCATAGGTCCAGCCTCTCTGACAACATTGGCATTGATATTAACAAAGGTTATTTTTGGATATTGTAAAGTGAAATGTGTTAAGAGTCAGGCTTTCATAATTCAGTGAACTAATATTTCCCAAATGACCAAATACAGTGCCATAAAATCATGCCAGCAAAAAAATTTCAAAGTGCAAGGTGACCATTGGGTTTTAGTGTAATGGAGTATGAAAAGCTCATAGATATGGCTTCAGATTTCTTACTACAACTGACCTTTAAGAAGTGACTACCTGTCAAGTTTTGGTATAGTATCAAAAAAGTTCTACAAGGGGGAAAGCTACTAGAAACTTCTTTTCCAACTACTTATCCATGTGAGGCTGAATTTTGTTCCTATACCTCAACCAAAACAATGTATTTTAGATTTGCAAAAATGTAATCAATGTCACTTTACTCACCAATATTTTATTGGTTTGGAAAACACAATTTCATAAAACATATGATTTAACATGGATTTTTATTAATATTTTCAAAATAATGATATTTAATTTTTTTCTCAGTTTACTTGTAAATATCAATAGGCATGCTTCACATAAATCTCTTGGAAGTTCTCAATAAATTTTAATAAATATAAAGTCTCCTGAGCTCGAAAACTTGGAGAGTTTCTAAAAGTATCCCTGTTCCACTGTTAAGCCTATACTTTTTACTGCTCAGGCTGTAGATCTGGTCTTACTCACTAACTCATCTGTCCTCCTATAGACCTTGACACCATCCTATGTTCTATACACCTGGTATCACATAGGAGTTGCTTTTCTTTTTTGAAATTGTGTTATTTTTTATTGAGGTAACAATGGTTTATACTATATGATTCAGACATACCATAGGTGCGAGTTCACACTTCTTTTTTTTTTTTTTAATTCTCTCTCTTTTTTTTTTTTAAGATTTATTTATTATTTATACAAGCACTGGGTACAGTCAGAAGTGCGGGAGGGTGGGAGAATTCACCAGAGCCGGGGGGGGGGGGGGGCAGAGCAGGCAGAAGAACTGAAGTACACTGCTGAGGGGAGCAGCGGGCGGCAGGAGAGGTCTGCGCGCCATGTGGGACCCTCCTCCAGTGGCCGGGGAGCAGCCGGGGATCAAACCGGCGCTGCAGAGGCTGCGGGCAGCTTCGCAACCCAGCGCTCAACCGCTGCGCCACCGGGGAGGCCCCACACCTCTTTTTTTTTTTTAAGGTTTATTTTATTTATGCATTCAAGAACTGGGGTACAGGCCAGAGATGCGGGGGGTGAGAGGAGTCACTAGAGACAGAGCGGGGAACAGAGCAGGCAGACTGACTGAAATACACTGCTGAGGGGAGCAGCGGGCCAGGCAGGAGAGGTCTACT